TGGACTTTGCAACAACAATCACAACTCCCTGGAACTCTATCTCTGATTTATGACTTTCTTGAACCTGAACCATTTTGAAACCAGATACTTCCATAACTTCTGACTTGGGAACCTTGAATTTTTTCAAAGTTGAAGAGCAAGACCATCATTCTCAAAGTCTCATTTCAGTTTAAGCAGGGGTGGCTCAACCCATTACACAAAATAAGCATTTGCAGTATAGTTGATTTTGTCATGGGGCGCTCTTGAGGCGTTCTTGGGGGAAAATAGACCTTGACATATACGAGTTGTAGTTACTGGGATGTATAGTTCACCTACAATCAAAGAGCATTCTGAACTCCACCAATGATGGAATTGAACCAAATATGTCACACAAAACTCCCACGACGAACAGAAAATATATATCAATGATTGTTTGGGGGGGGGGGGGTGCCAAAATACTGTTTGCTTACCATTGAAAATTTCCTAGGGCTGCCTCTGAGTTTAAGACTGGAAATTGCCAGTAAAATGGGACAATGTTTATTTACAAAACCACAGAGGCATCCTGTAAATTCTAAATTTGCTTACATCCTACCTCAACTCCGTTCACCACCAATATTCGTCCTCTGGTCTCTGTTCAAAGTTCTACTGCTTCAAGGACACACAAAAGAGAATGCTGCCCCTCCTCCCACAGGTGATTGTGACAATGAAGGTGAGGGCTTTACACCTTTCCTTCTTTCTCTCCCCTACCTCCCGAAAGCGGCATCTAGATTTCGGGAAAATGCTATATGGCCAGCAAACCATGTTTTTCACTTTGCCTTGTTTCGCCTTATACTAACTCTGTCCTGCTTTAGTTCTCTTCCCCAGTCTGGTACATTACATCCCTTCAACTTTGTTTGTAGATTGTAGATTATTCTCTTTTCTCTCTCGTAATGTTAGAATTCAGAACCATACAATTGATGAATAAAAGATTAGTCAGGCCACATGTGTCAAACACAAGGCCTATGGACCGAATTCAGCCATGCACATAATTTTATGTGGTCCACAAGGCTTTCAATGCCAGGGCAACATAGTTACATTTATACCCTTGGTGAAATTGAGTTAGACACCCCTGAATTAGACTACAGAAATTCTTTAAACAATGTATCAGTAAATTATGATATTCATTAAGTGCACATTGTTCTGTAGGAACTAATCCAGGACCAGATACACTGGCTCACATTGAACATAATGAAAATTCATGAGCTTGAGTCTGTCCCCTTGAAGCCAAGTGCTAGCTCCCCCAGACCCATAGGACCATAGAAAGCAGTATCATATTGAGTCAGGCCATTAGCTCTATCCCTCGTATTAATATCTATCCCCCTAGTATCAACTCTAATTTGCTATAATTTTCCTGGTTTTGAGCAAAGTTTTTTCCTAGCTCTTGCAAAAGATATCTGCTATTCCTTGGTTATCTTTTATCATGGCCCAATTGTACCCAGCTTCCAACATCAGGTGAAATCTGGTGTGTTCAGAATTGTCTTCATTTAATTTACAAATGACAGTAGTAACAGAAATTTCAAGAGCATGTGGGCAATGAAGAAGAAAAATATATGGTTTTATTCCTTTTTATTTTTCTTTCTTCTCAGACCTAGTTTATTATATGGTACTACAAAAGTGGCTCAAGTGTCACAAATGTGGTTTTTACAGTCCATACTTTTCCAGATTTTTATACAGGCCTCCTTCACTTTATACCTTAAAGTGTCCTTTAGCAGCTCCACTGAGAAATGTATAATGCCAAGTTCAAACAACTCTCTCACAACATGATTGAAGTTTTATGTTTTTGTCTTCATAAAACTTTAAGGAAGATGAGTCAGAAATGCTCTCAAGCGTGTTTCTACTAGAGAATCACTGAATTACTTAAGTAAAGAATTTTACAAGTACTGTGCTGTGGGTATTTTCACTTTCATGTGATTGTCTGGTTTGTTTACCTAAAAAAATGTTGGATGGCAGGTATTAGAAAGGGCCCTTTTTGTCTCTATAAACTTTTAAGAGAACAATAAAAAGAAGAATGCAAAAAAATACAAGGCTTGCAAGAACAAATTATCAAAATAATTCCTCATAATGCATCTAAACTGCTCCTCAGCCCACTAATGCTGTCTCATTTCAAATTGAAAGAAAAACAAATTGGAAGGAGACTAGTGTCTTCTATTTGGAGTTAACAGACAAGACAAAAGGTTAGTGGAAAGTTACATTTTTTCACACCAAGGAAAGGTGCTTGTGATGGCACAAGATATCATAAATGGATACTAAGAATGTCTGATGTTTGCGTGCATTATGTGAACAGAGAATTTAATGTGGGAATACTGCTATACTAACAGGTAGGCTGAGCCCAGATCAGTTTGATCAAAAGTGATTTGTAATATTCAGTGGTCCATTTCGTGTAATCGCCCAAAAACTGAACAGGGAGGAAGGAACCAAAAAGCCGGGCAAAACAGATCAAGAGAGCTGGATTTATCAGGTACTGGACAAGATGGAGTTAAGTCTGCAATATACCTGAGGCAGGGGTCTGCCACGGGGCTCCCGGGGAATATGAGATTACCTGCAGCATCTTTTCTCCCTCTCTGGCAGTGAAGTGTACATTTCTTTTGGAAAAGTTTCCTAGGCTTCTCTTCCAGAGAGGGCCCTGCTGGGAACTCACTTTCCTAGCATCACTTGCATGGGGCAGGCATTGAAAAGTCTCTAAGTTCATCTCGGAGCATGATGGGAGTTGAAGTTTTTTTCTCTTTCTGTTTCTTAGCCTGGTTGTGACCATGCTCTGTTTGGCTGAGAATGGCACAACCAGTGCTACAATTCCCAGAACCCTCTCTTGCAGTTTGTCTTGTTTTTAAAAAAATGATATGATAAAAACTTAAAATAATTCTTAAAAAATCAGTATATTAGTGAATTGTTATGAAACTTGGCAGGCTGCAGTTGCAAATGGAGTTTAAAACTGAGGTAGGTTTCATGAAGATAGGCCTTAAAACAGTGGCTCTCAACCTGTGAGTCCCCAGATGTTTTGGTCTACTCCCAGAAATCCCAGCCAGTTTAGCAGCTGTTAGGATTTCTGGGAATTGAAGGCCAAAATAACTGGGGACCCACGGGTTGAGTACCACTGCCTTAAAATGACTGGGGACTGAGCTTTTAAAGTTTCCCAATGTAGCCAACAACAACACTCCTCCCAATTCATGTAACTTCCCAGTAAACAGAATGAGGGGTTAGTCGAAAATGGACCCCTAAATGACATGCCTTTTAGTTGAATTGCACAAGGCTACTATCAGTGCAGTTGGTGTAAATGTCATTCCATTTGGATTTCCCCTTTGTTAACAGCATTATTCAGCATTGTCAAAAAGAATGCTAATGCTAAAGTGCATTATTATGTTTAACTTCGCTGCTGTTATTATTCTGCATTGTTTCATATTGTTCTTCTTATTGATTTTGCTTCTGCATCAGAAAAATAGTTGGAGTCAGATTCTGTTTTAGGCACATACACCTTGCTTAATAGAAACAAACTTCCACCCTTCCTCATACTAGTCTTTCCAGTACCCATGCTACAAAGAGGATCAAAGACCCCTATTACATGGGATGATATGTGACAGTGAGTATTCTGAAACTGAAGTTATCCACAAATGTAAGCTCTCCAGTGTCTCCTCTTCCTTTCTGCATTTAGTAGAGTTGCCTACTGTTATAGCTCTCTAGCGTGCTTGTGCTCTCAGAAATTACATAATTAGCACTTTTGAGAAGCTTTTTAAAATGCTGTTTGGCCTTTGGAGAGACTGTACACGTTCCAAGAAGTTTGGATTTGAGTGTAAAAAAACCAAGAGAGAATGCAATAGGGAGGGGTATTTTTTTTGGGGGGGGGGAGCGGTATCTCCTGCTGGATTCTGGAGGACTCTTCTTTCAGAGCCAATTTCCCAAGGGACCAAGAAAATGGTCAAATCAAATGTTTACAATGTATAATGTAGCAAAATGTTTTTTTGGATTTTTTGTGTCTGAACAGAGATAATGATAATAATCTAGCTTCTGCTTCAAATAATGAGCAATAAAAATAAGGTTCCAAATCCATGAACTGACTAAACAATAAGTCAGAATCGATTGAGATTTTTTTCACTCTTTTAGGATTTTTTAAATGTGGGGTTTCCCTTCAATTTGCATCAGTAAAATTGAGCTTAATTTATTGCTTTTTGAATTATATAAGTATAGATTCTCTGTGTTTGTGGGAGGGCTCTGAACTTTCCCAGCAACCTGCCCATCCTGCATAGTGTCTCTAAAGGGGGGGGGGGACTTCATTGATATTGTTTGTTTTAGCCCTACCAGTAATTTAGTACAACAAACAGGCAGGAATATTGATCTACACACGTGCATATACAGTGAGCCAAAATCTGGATCAGATCCCAAGATATTACCTTGATTGTTGTCATGTCAGGAGCAATTTGAGAAACTGCAAGTCACTTCAGGTGTGAGAAAATTGGCCGTTTACAAGGATGTTGCCTAATGAACAACCAGATGTTTTACCACCTGTGGGAGTCTTCCATCATGTCTCTGCATGAAAAGCTGGAGCTAACAGACAGGAGCTCACCCCACTCTCTGGATTTGAACTGCTGACCTTTCAGTCAGCAGTCCTGCCGGCACAAGAATTTAACCCATTTCACCACTGGGGGCTCCTATTACCTTGATTAAAATTACCATTACTCCAAGCTGCATGCTACACATTTTAAAGTAGTATGTAGTTTAGCAATTGAGCTGAATCCACAGATAAAAGGACTTTGGATGATATAGATGTTAAAATGCAGGTTGTATAGTAATCGGTGTGAATAATTTAACATCATGAATGACGAAAGGCTTTACACTGCCATTTACTTGCTTACTAACTCTAGATAATTCATCACACTTTGAATTATTTGTGAGTGTTTTGCGTAACCATGGATTTATATTTCCTGAAATGTCTCTGCAGGATAGAGTGAGTACTCTTGCAATGTTTTAATATTCTCATGGTGTACAATGCATAATGCTTAGAAACTAGATTTATTTGTAAATGTATTAGTCCAATTAATTTTAAGTAGGAAAAATCACAATCAGGAAACAACAGTGGCAAAAAAAGACACAATTATGCTATCATCTTGATCACGTTCCATAATATATTTTCCACACAAATGAGATTTAAGGTTGAAATTAAGTAACCATAAAGCACAGTTACTCAAAACTAAATTAACACTACTTTAATTGCTGGGTCAGTAATATGAACTCCTCTTCAGTATGTATGGTCGTCGGGCTTTGTTAACATGTAACTGCCGTTTCAGAATGTAAGGGGTTTTTCTCTTCATCAGATCTTTATCTTGGCTTGAATTTTCTGGGTCATAAACATCTTGTTGAAGTAACTGGTGAGAAGGAAAAAAGGGATATGGAATCACTACTTTCATACGGAATGACTTTGGTAAGTACCTTACATACAGAAGACTGGGAAATACTTTAACACTATGCAGTAAGAACAAAATCGAAAGATATACAGTGCAATGCAACCCCTGAATCTGCGGAACCATACCCACAGTTTCACCTACCCACATCTATCTAACAAAATACATTTTCTCCAGGAATTTTTTAGATCTTCCAGGTGATTCAATCCTATGCTTCCACTAGAAGTTCGTGTTTTGCTGGAGGACATTGCAAATTCCTAAAGAGGACATATCTCTAGGAATTTTCTAGGTCCTTCAATGAGACTCTATGATAACTTCCAGTGGAAGGCATTCATTTCAATATGGTTCACCAGTATTGACTGCAAAGAATTCGTGGGGTTTGTAAATCATTGAGGTACAAAATTCTCTGTCTGAAAATTCTAAATACCATATTGAGTAAAGTGGGATTTTAAAGCGCTGAGGCCCCTTACAGACAGGTCGTATATCACAGGATCTGATCCCAGGTTTTCTGTTTATTCCAGATTATCTGGCAGTGGGGACTCATATAATCTAGTTTAAATCAGAAAACCTAGGATCAGATCCTGGGATACAGGGCCTATCTGGAAGTGCCCTGAATTGTATCAAAGCCCCCCCCCCCCCGAAATGCTGACTTTACCTCCCAATGTTGAAAAGTTCTGCTATGGCAGACTTTTTGAAGCTGGTACAATGTCAACATGGCTTCCAAAGTGAAACTATCAAGTGTAGGTCTCCTTGTCATGAGGTCATCTTCTGTGTCACCTGCTGTCTCTTCTTGATTGTTTAGGTTACTTATAAGGTCACAAATATTTAGAAGAGTCATTTTCCATGGAGGAAGCTTTGCCTTGTTTACCTGAAAGACCCAAAATGAACAGTTAGTATCTTAAATTGTTTCAGTAGTAAGATCTTAAATTGTTTCAGTAGATAGTTCTACTGAAATAATAGAACAAAATAACTGGTGTGATTGATTATCCCACACATTTTATCAGCTATATTTATTTTCAAAATTTTATAAAACTGAACCATTTTGAACAATTTATTTTACAAAAACAGATGATTTTGATTATGTATCTTTGCAACAATGAGTTCAAAAATTCAATATAGACACTGATTTTACTATATGCAATGCAACTAAACTGTGCCTGTTCAGATGTCTATTCGAATGTTTCTCTCTCAGGAAAATTATTTATGGTGCCAACTTCTAGAATGATTTTATTTTACTAAGGCCTTCTACAATAATTTAGATTGCATCTGGATTTATTTGTGAAAATACCTTGAAATATACAGGTTATGGCTTATCAGAGGGAAACAAAAATATCAACAAGTTGAAAATAGATAGATTAAAAAGTCATGCGGTCTTTCTTCCAACCAAATGAATTACCAAGTAACACCCTAATATCTGTTGCTGATCATTACGAAATGCTACATTTTTCTTCAGACAGTTGACCTTTATTATGACTTTGATTTGCTTTTTGGACACAACACTTTTATTGTATTCAACAATACACAAAAGTTGTCATAGTATCTATGAGATTGTGACACATTCAATATCAAAGCAACCTGGTTTTCAATTGTTTCTCTTGCTTATTGAAAATTTCTAAGAAAGTTGTATGAAGTTCACAGGGTCTTCATAAGTTGACAGGTAGCATTTAGGCATCTAACCAAGACTTTACTCTGTCACAGGATAATTGAAGAACTATAGAACTTTCTTGCCATTCACTCTGGATTTGATAGCTAATAGAAATCAATTACTGGAGCTTGATTTATTGTTCTAGCAAAAATGTAAATAATTCATAAGCAAAGGGTAGCCTTTCTCTAATTGCCATATGGTGGTTGGAAGATGCTGAATGGAAATTTAACACAAAAGTAATGTGTTGCTGGTTATTACTTGGCTGATGACTTATTGTCTCCAAACACACACAGAAAGGTATGTAGATGTGAGCATGTGCATCCCAAAAGTATAGTTCAGAAAAATTGCATTGTTCTCTGAGGAAATGTGCAGAAATTTATGCAAATAAAAGTTTAGTAAGAAATAATAATGTGTGAAAAATTGTAGTGCACTTAACTATTTGTTCAGTTGGGAAAGGGAAGTGTTGAAGTGTTGACACATGCTTTATCACAAAAGAAAAGAACACTTGTAAGTATTCTTAAATCCTTAAGTGTTGGAACATTAACAGGAGCTTAAATTTCCAACTTTAGTTGCTAAAGACTGTAACTCAGAAAATTGCACTGTGGGAGAGAAAATAAGTTACCTGGTGTATAAGTCGTGGGCAGATTTTGGGACCAAAATCATGGATTTTCGTATTACCTGTGGATAAGTCAAGAGTCAATCCACAGGGAGGGGAAAGCATCAATGCTGACTCAGAGGGATGACCAGTGCTATTTACTTGCCTAGGCATTTAAAAGGCCAGACATGATGCCATGGTGAGATATTAGATGGAGTCATTACTTATTTTAGACTCTTCCTTGCTTTCTACCACTCTGCTCAGTGAAGGCAGCTGATGGATGTCAGTCCAGGCTTTTGGGGCAGATTTTTTTTTACTAAAATTCTAAACTTATACATGAGCATATAAAATAAACATTACTGCCTTAATGTCTAATGAGCCCTTTTTCCTGTCCCCTTTTTTCCTACCCCTACATTTATTCCTGCTTGTTTATATGAGTTGTTTTATTTTTCTCTGTATGGGAACAAGAAGCTTTTAAACTGTTCCCGCCCACTCTCCTACAGCTCTCTAAATTGAACTATAGTTATTTAATGGTAAACTCGGAAGAGCAGTTGCAGATCATGTTAATCCTCATAGTCTTGCTCAGTTTCAACTAATCATTCCCAGCAGTTTTTTAGGAGTGGCTAGTTTATTAAACTAATTGGTCTTAACTGACTATTCAAGATAAAACCACAACTTGGATTACCACAAAGTTGTCTCGTAATATACTGTTGCTGAGAAAATCCATGCTTCTGCAGCTACTGTGGGGATTATGACAATACTCAGAAAGAAGGTGCAAACCTGAGCTGGATGGCAAATGGCACCATCATTTCTGCTAATAAAAATTAAAAAGATCAGGCATTGCAACCCTGCAAGAGCCAGTGCCACTACTCTACTAGGAAGTTGATAGACCGGGGGGGGGGGGGGGGTCATCTTTCTGCTGTAATGCTCAGTAATCAAAAAATAAGATAAATGTTGTTGGGGTTTTTTTCAGACTTCACAACTTCTTTTCCACTCTACCTGTTTCTTCATTCATTTGTCCCCTGTTCTGAGTAAAATACCAAGGTTATATTGAAGCCATGAAGATTATTGCATAGCTCATTACTTTTGGAAATGGCAATAGAAGGATAAATAGTCATGCTGGTACATGAGGCTACAAAAGAACTTTTTGTCATATCTGCACCACTGGTGCCACCATAAATGGAGAACAGATTGACCAAATTGATTTTCCCCAGACAACATTCATCTGTGGACCACAGCTTGGGGAAGTTTTGCTTGTGCTGGGTGGGATATTTTAAAAGGTTCTAAAAAGCGTTGCTTTACCATTTGTGCAGTTCCTTATTTCTTCCTCCTCTTGTAACCACTAGACACCTCTTTTCACATACATCTCCCAAGACATTGATAGGGTACCAGAACAACGTTAAATGGGAGACATGAAAATCTCTATATTTTTTTCTGTTAAGTTATCTTAGAATCCAAGCCTGATTCTGAGGAATTTACCACTCTTTCAGGAGCCCCAAACACCCCATCATGTTTTGTTTGAGAAGCAAAGGCAGGTGTTAGGAAGAGGGAGGGGAGAAAACTTTCTTTATAAATGTTCTTAACTTACCTTAGGTTCTAATATACCATTTTAGTATTGTCCAAAATCAGTTTTACCACTTCCCAATGATGAAAATAAAACCAGTGAACTATGGGAGTTCAAATTTGTTGTATTCTTCTTTTAAAAAAAAGCATTAAATTAAGTTACATTTTTCATTTGTTTTCAATTTCTCTGTAAAATCTAATTTGGAGGTTTTATGTTGTGATTGCTTGATGGCCATTTCTGGTAAAATAGGCCAAGTCAGACAATTTTTAACATTTGTTTGTTAAAAAATAGTTGGGGAATCTCTCCATATGAGACGCTATCAGACATTTGTATTATACAGCTTTAAAACTGGAGAGCAGATTTAAGCCTCCTGCTTTAAAAAAGGAAGCTAGGGTTCTCTTGAAATGTTTCTATCCAATATCATAGAGGTAAGAGTAAAAATATAAAATCACAAGATAAAATGATTTTTTTTAAAAAAAATGTATTGAAAACTGTAGTCTTTTTCAAAGGAATAGGGCAAACAGTACTCAAAGGAATGTTCATTAGTTATCAAAAAATCTTCACTGGGGTAGTGAAGTTTTTTTTTTTTTTGCTTTGATGTTAACAAGTTCACCTCCTCTATATCCTAAAATACCAAGTATTGCTGAGGTAAGCAGAGAAGGTGAAACTGAACAGGCACATAAAGGATGAAGATCAGTCATCAAAGTGTGAGTTTCCTGCTATAAGTAGGAAAGATGGTCACACTATAACTGCAAAATCTGACAGTTGATTGAAGCAAGAACACCTTCCTCTCAGCTAAGATGTTCTCCAGATAAAATCTGACTGTGTTAACTAGCAAAAACATTTTTCACTTTAATTTTTAGTGGTTTAATCTCTTATATAAGGCATATAAATTGACAGAAATTGGCTAAGACCATCTACAGAATTAACATTACACAGCTTCATTTTTAATGAAGGAAGGATGTAATAAATTTAAAGCATGATTAGAAGTAAGAACACTAAACAGATCACCTCAAGGTGAGAGATAGGAAGGTTCAAAGCCCATGATGTAAACAATGTAGATAAAAATATTTGATTCTACACCTCTAAGGATGGCAATAATATTAAAAATATTTATAATGTTTGAAAAAACATGTTTTTCAAGTGTTGAGCAACTCTGATGAGATGAACTCTCACTGGATAAGAATATTTGCAGCTAGGGGTATATTGCACACAAAAATCACATGTGGTTGTTTTGCACAGAAAGCAGCTTTTTCTTCTTGAAAAATAATATTTCAATGCAGAAATATTTATCCCCCTAAAGCAAATGTTATTTTTTGTGTAGAAAAAAACTGTGATTTGAGATTTATTCTATAGAAGAGTATCATTGTTGATTTGCAGAGAAAATAGCATCTTCTGCCCAGAGAAGAACATTTTTTGTACAGGAGTTGATATTTCTGTCAAATATCTCTTTTTATAATACATTTATGAAGATGGAAATATTCCACCATCAATAATATAAATTTTCTTAAGTTACAGGAACGGATTTAAATCAGTACCATTTGAAAAAGTTGGAATGCCTTATGGAATTGTTTCTGATTCCCTGCCTTATTTTCTGTCATTCTCCTATTTTTCCTCATATGATGGTAATAGTTTGATAGAAGAAAAAAATGGAAAAATGAATATAATTTACTCCAATGTTTGCCTCATTTTGAAACTATCTTCCTGGACATTTCATGATGGGCTATCTACATATCTGAAAATGAAAGGAGAAATGGATGGAGAAATAGATCAGCTTATAATAGGAGAACACTGGAAAATGGTGAAGTGAGCCACTGTGTTTTGATTATAAGAAACATTACAGCTATTTCAGAGTATAATTTCTGCCCAAAGGTATATTCAGCCCAAGATTAGTTTTGGTAGTTAACCTCTTCAGGATATTACCATGAAGAACCTATTTGACTAGGAAACCATGGTTGGGTGGATTCATGAATAGCAAGTGCATGCATTCATTGATTGCAGGACAAGAACTAATATTAGCATAGTGATGAAACTACTTTCTTCACTATGATGGAGAAACAGAGT